GGAAGGCTAAATACTCGAATGATGGGTATATGTGAGGAAGTTAAAATTATGGAGTTAAGAGCTCCGCACGTATTTACTATGAGTCAGGGAAGTGGTGAAGAAAGACCTCGAGAACCCAATCTAAGGGCAATAAGGGCGAGTTTGGCGGCAGGACCCGAGGCAGCTTACCAAACCCTTACGAGTTCCTTGCCGTACACTGCTTGACGGACAAAAGGAGGGAATACAACTAAGGAACAGGAGCAGGCTCCGCCTCCTCCTCCTGCTGAACCCTCTATTGACATAGGCGAAGAGGAAAAGGATCAGGATGAACAACAGAAAGAAGAGAAGGATAAGCGCGCCGAGCAGAGGGCCAATAAACGTAAGCAAGGGGTTAAGGAAGAAAAAGAGTAGACCGGGGAAAAGTCAGAAAAAGTGGAAGTATTAGACATCTATTGAAGAGGGGGTAGACCTCGAAAATTTGGTAAACAAGCTTCTCGACGGACATAACGAGCTGCTAAATTTGAAGGAGATGTTGGCAACAGCCCCTAAACTCAGAGAATTAGTTAAGGCAAAACTGACACGAAAGAAAGTGACGACGGTAAGTATGGGAGATTTGATCTCGAAGCATGTGAACTGGATTGTCGCTGGGAGCAAGATGGATTGAAAATCTGTATGGACTGGTTCCATAGAAGTTATTAGGGGAAGAGAATGCCCTGAAATGACAGATACAGGGGCGGAAATGAATATTATGAATTTAGAAACAGTTGAGAGATTGTGATTAGAAGTTGATAAGAGCGACTTCGGATTCCTTAATGGAGGTAGTAGGAAGTAAGGTTATACAGGCGTCGCCTCAAACGTCATCGTGGAAGTAGGGCGGATTAAGGTCCGTTCCTACTTCTACATCATGCCGAGTCTGGATCTTCCCATATTATTGGGAAGGTCTTTCCTGTCGAGGTCAGAAACTCTCATCATGAATAAGCATGATGGAAGTATGTACGTAATATTGTGCGACCCGGTATGTCGGAATTTCGAAGTACTTACATGTAAGAATACGGGTCCCCACTGTTCAAAGAATCGTCTCAACGCAGGATCCTATACGTTTGAAGAGTCGGTGGACAGAAGAAGGGAATTAGAGTGAGGAGCAGGCGAGGAAGAAGAAGAGGAAGAGGATGAGGGACTGGTTCTGAGCTTGGCAAATAGAGACCAGACAATGTGCATGGTCTCAGCCTATGAGATGGTCGACCAAGAAGCCATCATGCCCTTGGCTGATGGGTTGGGGGAATATCCGGAAGGAGGAAGAATAAGTTTAGTATATAGGCCACCCCCGCGAGATGTAAAAATGCAGGGACCATATGCCCAATCAAGCGGTCAACATTTTTTAGGGGTGGGCTCAAGCAAGGAGGCAAAAGGAGGTAGAAGACAGTAGACAAAAAGAATAGTCCAGTCCCGGTACTAGTAACACACGAAGAGGGTGTATACTATGAGAAGGAGAGGGAACTGATAAGACAAATGAGGGAGAAGTGGAAAGAAGAAGCCTGCCGCATCAACGAAGAGTTGATCATTGGGGAACCTGACTTTCCGACAAAGTAGGAGAGAGCATTGGTAATAAGTTTAATGAAAGAGAAACATTGCGCCTATGCCTTTAATAATGAGCAGAGACGGAGGTTAAATGTGGACAAGGTAGTTATGATCAGAAACCATACAGTCCCGCACCAGCCGTGGAATATTAGAGGAGCCAGATACCCGAATCCTGATGATCAGAGGAGAGTGGTGGAATACCTCGATGGAAAGATTGACTTGCACATGGCACGATTCTCTAGTGGGCCTTATGCTTCACCTTGGTTCTGTTTTATTAAGCCAAACGGTGTACTCAGGTGGGTGCAAGACTTACAAAGACTGAATGTCGTGACTGTTAGGGATGCAAGAAGGCTCCCTAACGCTGTTCGGCTTTCTGAACCATATGCATGGAGGTCTATTATTTCTCTTATAGACCTCTACTCTGGTTATGATCAGTTTTCAGTTTATCCGACCGATAGGCTGATAACTGCGATGCACACTCCTAGGGGACTGATCCACATGAACGTAGCATCTCAGGGGTGGACTAATGCGGTAGCCATGGTTCAGAGGAGTATGGTCAGAGTAATGCAACCGATTAGTCCACAGATCACTGAGCCCTGTATCGATGGTCTTGCAGTGAAAGGGCCGATGATAAAGGATGAGCAAGAGGTTGCACCTTACATTCGAAAGTTCGTCTGGGATCATGCTAATGATCTAAGGAAGGTGGCTGATCTCGTGCAAGAACATAACCTAACGGCGAGCGGTGCAAAATCCAGACATTGCATGAGAGAGGCAACCATTTTTTGGTTTGTGTGTAATGAGCAGGGTCGTCGTCCGGATACCAAGAAAACAAACAAAATTCTTGAGTGGCCGATACCATTCAAGAATATAGGTGAGGTGAGGTATTTTCTTGGGACATGTGGATTCTGGAGGATATTTATTAAGAGGTTCGCCGCTTAGACTGAGCACGTAAGCAAATTAGTTAGGAAGAATCAAGAATGAGAGTAGGGAGAGAAGCAGGAGCAGGTGGTGAGAGATTTAAAGAAGGAATTTGAGGAAGGAGGTCTGGAACGGGGGGTTCCGGATTACGAAGCAATCTTAGAACGGCCCTTCATAATAGAAACCGATGCCGGACCCACTGCCTTGGGAGGAGTCTTGATACAGACGGATCATGAGGGTAAGGAAAAAACGTTGCGCTTTGAGAGTCGAACTCTCAATTCAACTAAGAGGAACTACTCCCAATTCAAGAAGGAGGCCTTGACGGTTCTACACTGCCTAGGCATCTTCATATATTATCTCTTTGAAAAAATATTCATTCTTAGGGTAGATTTAACAGCCCTTATGTATTCGCTTAGGAACTTCTCTTCAGCTGATCCTACAGTTACCAGATGACTCACCTACATCTGGATGTTTGATTTCCAGTTGAGGCACATTCCAGGGAATAAGAACAGAGCGGATGGGTTGAGCATGATAGAGTGAGAGAAGTCTGGAGAAGCTAACGAAGAGACGCCGCCGGTAGACGGATTCTTGGAAGAAGATAACATGCAACTCCACATTAATGCATGGACCTTAAGAATCGATGATAATGAGGTGCGAGAGGGAAAACCTATATGCTTCGCACCAACGACTTTCGCGAAGGATGAAAGGTTGGTATTAAAACCTTTCGTCGAAGAGGACCCGTGGGGAGAAAGAAATGGGGAATGGATGGCGGAATTAGCTTTAGCTGAGAGTTACAGATTGACAGAGGAACCTGTTACGAGTGAGGCAGGAACAAGGCAGGTGAATCGATATTTATTGATAGTGGGGAGAGTACATCACCTTGTGAACTCTTTCCTGCAAGTTCGGACCGAAGAAGAAAGAGAAACAGTAAAGGCGGATGAGATAATATTGAGAGATGACACTGAGTTTGATGAAGAAATGGAGGGAGAGGAATTTGAGCAAAGGTGAAATTTCGAAAGATTTTCGGGAAGAAGAGTACGATGGGTTCCATCTACAAATGAGACTTCTTCTCTCAGGCGACAAGCGAGAAAGGGAAGTTGGTGAGAAAATTCTCTGCATGAGGGATCATTATGTAGTGAGGTGTGTCCATCTTTTCATTAGGGATAAAAGAGGACCTCCTAGAAGGGTTATCTGTGGCAGAAATCGACAGATTGATGTCATAGCTACCTTCCATGACAGACCTGTTGGTGGTCACAGGGGATTTTCCGCTACCCTCAAGAAGGTGACTGAGCTCTACTTTTGGGAAGGTATGTACGGGATGGTTAGGAATTATTGTGAGTCATGCGTACCGTGCCAGGTCAGATCGCCGATCAGGTATAAAAAACCTCTTCACCCGAGATATATCAAAAATGTAGGGGCAGTAGTCCACTTGGATTTGCTGGCAATGCCGCTGGGACTTGGGGGTTACAACTACATTTTTGATGCCAGAAACAATCTCACGGGATTTGTTGATGGGAAGTTTATTCGGACCAAGACTGGGACAGTTTTGGCTGAGTGCATCAAAGACTATTACCTCCGGTATCCTTTCGTAGTAGAATTCACGATGGATAGAGGGTCGGAATTCACATGCGGGGAGGTTAAAGAGTTATTGGATGATATCGGGGGAATCGCTAAGTACACCACCATGACACATCCTCAGGCTAACGCACCGGTGGAAAGAGGGCACAGCACCATCACGAACTTACTGGCAAAATGGACAGCGGGAAAACCAAACTTGTGGCCTAAATTCCTACGGACGGTATTCTTCGTCGAAAATATCACAGTTAGGAGAACCACAGGGTATGCTCCTGCGACCTTATGGTATGAGAGACACGCCACCTTTCCAATAGAAAGCTTCCTGAAGACCTGGTGGAGAGAAGATCTTGAAAACGACTTGCCACTTGAAGAATTACTTGACATCCGAGCCAGACAGGCCAGTGTCACAGAGGAAAGGATTCAGGAAGCAGTCGAGAAAGTGACCGACAGTCGGGGAAAAGACAAGGAAAGATGGGACCAACTTCCTCGCGTACGAGCTGAATCATTGGCAATCGGGGACGTAGTGCTGTTGTATGACTCATCCCTGGAAAAACAATGGTCAAGGAAATTGGATAAGAGATGGTTGGGGCCGTATAAGGTTCGACGCCAGAGGAATCATGGGGCATATGAGCTGGAGGAGATGGATGGAACGCCAAGGCGAGACTGGGTTTCTGAATCCAGGTTGAAAAAATTCAGAACAAGAAATGAGGTGAGTCAATAACTTGAAGATAAGTCAATTCGATCCTACTCAAAACCTCTTGTGATTGCATCATTTGCGAACCTGATATCGTTACCCGGCTGCTAACTCCCCATTGCACCTGCCACTTTCTTCGTTCTTTTATGTGTGCAGGCTTAATCCTGTAAAAGGAGCGGCGATGACACGGAAAGGAGGGATGGCAGGGCCTTCTAGGTCAACCTCTGGCAGAGAACGGTGGCAGGGGTTACAGCGGGTAACCAGGGACGTGGATGGAATGCCGATCTACAAGAAGGGGGACAATTTGAGGTTGTTCATGAGGGAGTTGAGGATTATGCCTTCAGGAGGGAGTGGGACACCCCTACCATGCTGCTCAGAGTGACGGGTGTGGGGGAGTGTCAATTGAAAATTGAAGAGATTACCACCGACTGCCTGGGGTGGATGACCTTTAAAACGGAGATGTGGGCTGAATATGAGAATCTGAGGAAAGAGGAGATCGAGGATGATATCATTTTCGATGGGGCCGAATGTGGAAGACTTCGAGGACAGCATTGCTCTGTGTGCAGAGAGAAAATGGTGGAAGGAAGAGGAGAAGTTGAAACAGGTAATGACAAGAGTGAACCCCAGGGAATATGAGAATGTAAGGAAGATCAAGGAGGAATCAAATACCTGGGGAGGATTTTTTGGCAAGTTCAGAAGAACTTACACCCTAGTCGTGCAGAGACAGAAGAAAAAACAGTTACTTCAAGAGCAGGGATTGTGGATAGGAAGAAGAGGAGAGAGGCTGGAGAGAAAGGGTCAACAGGAAATTGATGAAGATGATGTGACCCTTAAACAAGTACTTGACAATAAGAGGACAACAACTCAGAAGGGAAATGGGTCAGCAAGCAAGATCACAAGAGTGCAAAAAAAGGGAAGGAGCAGGGAGAAGAAGCGAAGTAAGGAAGAAGAAGAAGAAAGTGAGCAAGACAAAGAGGGAGAAGAAGAGAGGAAAGAGGAAGTGGAAGAGGTAGCGAAGGGAAAAGAGGAAGTAAAAGAGAATGAGAAGGAGGAAGATGAGAAGAATCAAACAGGGAGAGAGACAGGAACGACAGCAGCTGAGAATCCTCTCAAAGAACCAGCATCAAGGAGAACGACCAAGGAGGAGAGAGAAAAGAGGGAGGAAAGAAAATAAGGAATGGAGGAACAAAATGATCGCTTCAATGAAAGAAGATGAACTACCTGCAGATGTCCCTTGGAGTTTGACGATCGAGAGGATCTTGTTGACTGAAACAATTAAGGGCTCTAAGTTGGCATCAGACAGGTTAATTAAGTTGCATGAGCTACTTCGAGATGACTGTGAGTGGATCCTTGAGTGAGAAGCAGAGGTGGCAGAGAAATTGGAGGACGCCGGAAAGAGTCGGAGAGGGAATGACGAGGCTGAAAAGTTGGAGACTTCATTGAGAGAATTCAAAAAAAGGATAAAAGGGAAGGATAAATTACTCATTCAAGGAGTAGCAAACCACATCCCTGCAGTCCTAAAAGAGATCTAAAGATTGAGGAAGAGGGAAAAAAACAGGGATGCACAGGTGGAAGAGATGGGAAAAAAAATAGAGAGCATGAGGGCTGAAATAAGCAAAGTAAAGAGGAGCAACAAGGGTTGAAAAAACAAGAGAAATCATTAAATGTTGTCCTGGACAGTAAAAACAAGGAGGTGGAAAAAAAAAGGATTGAGCGAGAAAAATTGGAGAAGGAAATTGGCAAGCTGGAAGGGAAGATTAGTAAGCAAGAAAAGGAGATAGAGGCTGTAAAGGAAAGAAGAACGAAGGAGAGCAAATATTGGAAAGAAAAGTGGAAGGTAACAGAGAAGAAGGTTGAAAGTCTCAGAATGGTTGCTCAAGGGGAAGAAGCAGAAACGCCAATAAAGATAGTTGTATGGAACGACGAGCTGAGGTATGAAATCATGAATGTTACAGAGACACTTCACGCACTATGGCAAGGCTTAAGGAAAGCAAGCAGAGAAGTGTTGGGACCAAGAAAAGAGAACAGAGATCAGCCCACTATCATTCCAAGCCCTGATAACAAACGGGTTGACCTAATGACATTTGACACTTTTACAAAGTCTTCAAATGAAGGCGAATCCAGGGGTAGTAAAAAGAGACCTTGTTCTGAGATGGTGGAAGCAGGTAGAGAGAAGGGGATGACAGTTCCACATCATTCTGTCAAAAAGTCAAGAAGTGAGGACAAAAAATTGTGTTGGTATTGCATGAAGGGGATGCATCTGAGGGAGGAATGCCCTGGGCTTAAGATTAACGAGGAAAAGAGTTTGGTGAGGTTGGATGAGAACAAAAAACTTATTGACAGGGAAGGAAACCCTGTTAAGAAGGCTAAGGATGGGTTCAGAGCTCAGTTATATAGGCATGTAAACCTTAGTGTGATAGATTAGGGGGAGAAGTATGTACCTTGACCTCCTATGATCTCTGCAGCCATTCACGATCCTTTCTATCCCTTAGTAAGGCTTTGTACACCTTGAGTAGGAAGGGTAAAATCTGTCTCTTATACACATCTAGATGTGTATAAGAGACAGCCCTTACGGGAGTCAGAGTAGGAGAGGAGGTTTTTTTTTTTTTTTTTTTTTTTTTTTTTTTCTTGGGTGGTAATGTTGTTAGCAACTAGGAGAATGTCGATAAATTTTGAGATCTGTATTATGATATATAATTGGTTCGGCATGTGTAGTTTAGTGAATGAGGATAGGAAATGTATATAACATGGGTTTCAGACTTATTTTTCTTTGAAGGGAGGCCGCTTATTCGATTTTCCTTCTCTCGAGTTGTATATTTATGACTCTATCTATGGGGAATGCCGACAAGAAACACTTTCACTTTCACAGCTGAGTTGGTCTAGTATCTGGTCTTGTTTCGTTAAATGAGTATCTTGGATTTGTGTACAAACAAAATTATCAAATCTTGAACTAGGATGCTCATAAAGAGCGTCTAAGTGTTCCAGAGAGATAGGGTGAAATGTGACGTGTACGGTCTAAATGTGCTTTGACATTATTGATCATTCTTCTTTCATGCTTTATCTTATATTGTTATTGTTGAGAAAGATCATAAAAAGGGGGGTGCGAAAGAGTTAAAAGCTTTGATGCATCTGGAAAACTCCGCGAGTCAGAGAAATGTATGTTATGAATGGAATGGTTGTTCTTTCTCTGCCTTCCGACAAGACAAGAAGTCAAACAAATGCTTTTTATACTTTTTTTTGGATATTTTGGTTGACTTTTTCTGTTGATTGAAGATCCCCGAGACGTATGTCTTTCCAGCCTGTGATCGAAGTCTAGACGACACGACCCCTAAGTGGCTCTGACGATGCCCCTCGTTCAGTGACAGTGTGACAATCATGATATATCAAATTTATTGGTGTAAAATTTTCATATATACTTCTCAGAAAGGTTCATTCATTCAAAACTGACGATGGGATGAGGTTCTATGGTCAAATTGTTTTTAAATATATATGAAATGATCATTGTTCATCCTCTTTAGGCGGTCAGTTAGAGGGATTTGAAATTACCAAGCCTATGGTGGAAATATGGCATCGTTGGGACGTAACTCCCAGCGAGGGCTGCTGACCAAGTATAACCAGACAGCGGGCCTTCCGATTACGGCCTAGAACTGAAACTTGAGAGGGGGTCTCCTTAATGATGGAATTGGTTCAGGTAGATATCGGAGGGATCAAGAGTGAGGTTTAGATTGATAGGAGGATTCTACCCGATATTGCGCAACCAATACGGGAACCATCGCTAAAAATAACAACGTGGTGGGCCGCGGTTTCGGTTTGATCAACCGGCTGTGGTGGGTTGAGACCAAGGTTGCCGATCCCCTCGCATTAGACTTCGGGTGGGACGGTAAAATCTGACTTAGGTCAAGACCTGCGTCCGAAGAGTGGGATTCGTTTTTGATTCCTAACTTCTCGGACATCCAACAAGATCCTGACAAAATAAAGTCTAAAGTTGGGGGGAGGAACTATTGGTGACCTCTGCAACTGTAAAACAGATCCCGTATGCCCACTTGGGTTTATATGGATTAATATTTTCTTGGGAATTATCATTGTTGGATATGAGGGAGACCCAGGTTAAAATCCTGGCAGTATGGACGCACCAAGGCGGACAGTGAGAGTCTCCAAACCGCAACTTCATCCAGGGGATCGAATTTTGACTACTTGTCGCGTCAGGAGGCCTTTCTTTGCATTTAGATTACCCAGCGACGGGGACGTCGCTTAATGGGGTATGGGAAAACTGTCGGAGATGATACCCTTACAAGGGTATCCGCTCATGTTTCTGTAGTCGACAGAACGTTGGCACCAACGGATAGACTGAAGACGGCTAAAAATTAGAAGTGAGGTAAATCCCTCAATTGTTATGATCGAGAAAAGTTTTGCCGACGCAAATACCAGAACACGGCGCGCACAGACTAGAGTCGATGGTTTTTTTTTTTTTGAATACTCGCCTGCTTTGTCGTGAAGAACGCAGAAACAAGAAGATTAGTGGATTAAGAAATTTGAATGAACGCGCACGCCACTTTGACCCGCGCAAAGACTGCAAAAGGGTTAGTAAGTTAAACTGCTGACCACAGAGGCCGGGAGGTTACTCTATCAAAAGGGAGTCGCGCGGGATGCGATGGCGGCACATCAAGTCAATCGGCTCCGGCTAAAGCAACGAGGCTCGAGCATGCCTTATGACTAGGGCAACCGAAAGGGGTCTGCCGCCTATCCTTGAAGGCGGCAAAAATCAGTAGAAAGCCTAAAACCAGTCTTAAATGACGGGCTGTGGGCCTGTTACACCCACGGGACCGGCCTGTACTCTACTTATAGCCGGGCTGCTCTCATTCTAAATGAACTAGGAGCTAGCCCAGTAGGTTTAGGTGCGGATTGATGAATCAAAGGTGCGGGGATAGAGTCCATCCTGCCAGGGGCTAGCTCTTTTTGCGGCCCGCCCGACCACCACTTTGAACCGCCTTGATGAGGCAGGGCTTGAACTCATGACCACTGGGATGAGACTGACAAATTTGGGCTCCTTCCTGTGTCAGGGGCCCGACAGATGCCCATACGGGACGCAACGGAAGTAGTTCAGTTAAATTTTTTTAATTTTTTTTTTTTTTTTAAGATCTATTGAAATTCGTGGGAGGTTCATGGGTGGTTGGAGAAAGAAAACGAGGCGGGGCACTTACCAAGAACTATGGAAAGAGGGGACGCACGGCGCAAGAAAACGCTCTTCAATCGATCGAGAAGGCAAGATGATGATGAATTTTCCTCTGGAACATGGAAAGATGCACCCGTGGATGCAGGACCCGGATACGGTTGAACTGCTGTGGAAACTAAAAAACGAATGAGTTTTCTATAATTACCCCAAATAAATTCACATTATTTAAAATTATTGATATTATTATTATTATTATTATTATTATTATTATTCCCCTTTTGAAGCACTGCGGAAGTGAATCCGCTCAGGATCTAGGTATGGAACCATTAAGTAAGAAAAGGAAGGGCAGAACACAGAGGGCAGAGCAAGAAGGGCCTCGAGCAGGAGGACTTGGATTGGAGAAGGCAAACGGGCTCGCGCAGGAACGCAGTGGCAAGCGGGCAGTCCAACTTGTAACGACGAGCTAAGGGAAAGGAAAGTGGGCGCAAGCGCAGGAGTTCGTGGACTTACGAGCGAGCGTGAACAGAACGGCTTGCGCTAGCATACGTGCAGACGGACGATGAAGCGAGCCAGGAGAGGAGAAGAAAGAGTGAAGGAAGGGGGGGAGAAGAACGAGAAGGAGGTGAGACAGGAAGAAAAAGCTTGGATGTGGGAAAGGAGAGGGACCTTGACGGTAACTGAAGGAGAGAGGAAGGGACTAAACCAGGAAAGGAGGAAGGGGAAAGAGAAAGAGGGAGGCAGACTACTTATCCGATCCTGCAGATAAGTGGTGGCGACGTTCCATGCACGTAGGAAGGGGAGGCAGAGTTGATATCCCCGAGGATCGACTTCGGCACCCTCATTCCATAAGGGGTGGTTGTGGTTTGAGGTCGGAGCGTTCCAACGGGATAAGGAAGTATCGAGACTCGGGCGACGACTCAGCATTTCGTCCCCATCCGAGGCGCATTGAGGGCGACGCACCGGCTAACTGGTAAGTCTCCAACCCCGCAAACTGTCCACCCGTTACTCCCGTCAAGAAGGAGGGTAAAATCGAATGAACACAGGAGTGTACGTTTGGCCGCATTTATCGGGAAACTGGGTACTTGTGCGTGTGAGCAAGTGTGAGCAAATAGCTACGTTTGTGTGTGTGTACGTGTGTGTGTGTGTGTGTGCATGCGTAGGAGGGAAAGAAAGTGTGAGGGAGAAAGAGAAATGGGTAGGTTCCATTATCATGACTGGCATCTTGCTACTACCACCGAGGGAAGAAGCAAACTCAAACGATTTTTCCGCTGCTTTCGGGAGGAAGGATACACCGCTGCTTGCACCGCAACTGTAGCACC